GGGAGGGAGAGAGAGAGAGAGAGAGAGAGAGAGAGAGAGAGAGAGAGAGAGAGAGAGAGAGACTGACTTCAGGATCCTGTCTGATACCGGTCAACATTGGCAGGGAATGGAAGGAAAGGGGTAGGTAGATACACCCAAAAGAGAAAAAACAAATTAAAAATAAAACAAACAACGACGTCAACAAAATCCAAGGAAAAACACTGCCCTGAGATGGCAGGGATGTGGGGAGACCAGTGAAAACAATATTAGAAGTAAAAGCCCCGTTAAGTGGCCTCCCTGGCTACAAGCTCTACGGACGGCTGACTCAAGGAGGTCACCTGCATAAAACTTTAACATACACATTGTCCAGTCCAGTCAAGGGGATCCCTAAGCTCGTGATGCCGGAAAGCTTTGGCTGCAGTCACGTTGGTAGCCGATAAGCGGGTCACGAAGCTTACGCCACATGCACAACCCTGGAGCTGGGGTTTTACCTTGCAAACGGGACCTGGGATGCGATCCCTATCTTCCTCTTCCACCTCATTTGTCACAGCCGCCTGCTTAGCTGGCTTCCCGGTATCTTTCCGTATCTTTTTCGGCTTCCTTGCCCGAACCTCCAAGTCTCCACGCCGCTTCCTCTTGGTCGCCGACATCTTGCCTCGCCGCGCTGGTGGCCGGCCGTACTTCCGGTTCTGCCGCTCGCGCCTCCTTCCAGTCTCTATGGTAGTACACGCTAGGTTCTGGGTTAGTCATCCAGCCGGAAGGAGCCTTCTTCCGGTCTTGCGGTAGACTATCTAGGCTGGCGGCGGCTCGGTGGTGACGGTGGCCCGCGGGGCGACGGGGCGGAAGAGCGGCGGAACTGTGTGCCAGGCTCCCTCGCTTCGGGACGCTCATTGTGTCTGTCCTTCCTGGGACGTCGCCGCAGAGGCAGGGGCCTGTGCCCGGGGCTCCTCTTGTGCGGCAGGCGGGCTGGTGAGCCGGGTGACTGTCGGGGCCGCGGCCGGCCGGGTTGGCGGCGCTGGGAGCTGCCGAGTAGACCCTAAGCGGGCTGTGACGCCTTTTGACCACGTGAAAAACGCGCCAGTTACAACTGCCCTGTGAATCGCTTCTTTTCCCCTAGAAGACGAGGAAACCGTAGTTTTGAGACAAGGAGATAGAATTTCCCCAAAAGTTGAAGACCGTGCAGTGGCAAGAAGCGGGGCTCTCTTGACAGCCGATTTCGGATTGAGGTCGCCAGCCCCATCATCAGCACTGATGCAGGTCTGTTGTTCGTCTCTCAGGTTTTCGGGGGTTTAGAAGAGGAGCATCCATGCCTCTCCTAACCCAGCGCGTTCCGGACGAGGACGAGCAGTACTGCTTAGTGGCCAGCCTCGACAACGTTAGGAATCTCTCCACCGTCTTGAAAGCCATTCATTTCAAAGAACACGCCGCGTGTTTTGCTACCAAAAATGGACTCAAAGTTACCGTGGAAAATGCAAAGTGTGTGCAAGCCAATGCCTTTATTCAGGTATGGGGGAGCGGAGGCCCAGTGTAGCATTCGCCTGGTTATTAAACTTTGAAGGACTTCTAAAAAATTCAAGTTAGAGAATAAAATGTCATTACTTGATTTATTTTTTCCTTTCCTGCCAACAAATATTTTTCCCATCGTGTCTCACACAGATAATGATTCCTAGTGATAGTTTATTAAGGTTAAACTATGAGGTTAAACTTCTCATCGTTTACCGCTTTTAAAAGTTCTCACAAAAATAGGCACATATATCGTTCCTGCTTTACGTAAGTGATAACTGCAACAGATTTGATTTCAGCAGTCTCCTGATGAAAACTCGGGATGTTTGTTTACTCCTCACGTTGTCATTCTTGTCCTGCACGGTTTAGTTTTTCATCTTATTGGCTGTAATAGCATTTATTTTTATTTTATTTTTTGAACTGAGACAGGTTCTAACATAAAACCCGTTACCTGGAACTTGCTTTGTAGACCACACTGAACTCCAGGGCTAGGAGAGCCACCCACCTCTACTTTGCATTGAAGTACTGGGATTAAAGCCCTGCACCATCACCTGTAACTGTAATCTATTAGAGCTATAATCCTAGCCTTTATATGGTTCAGATCGGAGCTCAACATTCAGTTCATATTTTTGAACATGTGTATAGTATGACCTCACAAATGGAGAAATAAATAAAGCATGGTTTCTGTCTTCAAAAGAAGTTGGAGGGGCTCAGCAGTTAAGAGCTCTGGCTGCTCTTTCAGAAGTCCCTAGTTCAATTCCCAGTACCCACGTGGCAGCTCACAACTGTCTGTAACTATAATTTTAGGTGATCTGACATCCTCACACAGACAGAACACCAATGCACATGAAACTAATTAATTTTTTAAAAAAGTAATTAGAAACGATTGTCATTCATGCATTATTAAATTGCCCTATTTTCAGGTTACTTTAGCCTGAACGGCACAAGGAAGGAGCAAAGGAAGTGGGTAATAGGTTTATATCCAGAAATGAAGATGAAGGACCATTGTTTGTGGGGGGAGTGGTCTCTTTTGTTGCTTTTTAGTTAATTTTTTTTTATTTTTTGTGTATGAGTGTTTTGCGTGCATGAATGTCTGCTAAAGGTATGTATCTGGTACCTTCAGAGTACCTTCCAGAAGAGGGTTTTGGATCCCCTGGAAATGGCTACAGATGGTTGTGAGCCACCGTGTGGGTGTTGGGAATTGACCTGGATCCTCTAGAAGAGTAGCTGGTGTTCTTAACTGCTAAGCTATCTCCTCTCCAGCATCCCTTTTAAACTCACACATTTTCATCATTACCCCACACACACATACACACACTTCAGGAGCTTCTAAATGGGACCCAACAATTAAACCATTGAGTGGTAGTCCAGTGGGTAATGGTTGACAATTTGCCATATCTCAATGGGGAATGAGAAATTATTCTCATGGAGTTGGCACAGTATTGTTCATTTTTAAGTGTAAAATGAAATATTGCATGTGAATTTTCATTGTTTATGATAACCCCACTTTCATGTTCACTTTTTGCAGGCTGAAGTGTTTCAAGAATTTACCATTCAGGAAGAATCTGTTACTTTCCGAATTAACTTAACTATCCTTTTAGACTGTTTATCTATTTTTGGATCAAGTCCTACTCCAGGTAAACTTTATTATTATTTTATTATTGTTTATTTCCTAGGTGAGTCTAGATCCTGTCTGGTTGACAAAATCATCTCACAAGGCTCTAAGATTCTAAGTTTAAAATTAAGACTTTAAACAGTCATTAATTATATCTATAACATGGTGAAATTTGTTTTAATTACATATTTCTCTAACTTACTCAGAATTGACATCTACTTACAGGGAGAGAAAAACAAATTTTCCTGACTCCCAGTTGACCATGTTTAAAATGGTTGGCTAAAATTAAGACTTTTATAAATTATGTCTGCTTCCTCAAAAAGTTTCTTCAAAACATATTTTTACTTGCTTAGGGAATTATTTTTAGAGATTAAAAAATTCAGTTGCCATGGGCATAAGATTACAAGAATCCAAGAAATGATTTTATTTCATAGGAAAGTAACTTGACTGTAAGCTAGGGAACATTTAGGTACTGATCTAAAACCATGGCTTTGCACTGGCCGCTCCACTGTTAAGTTTTGTTTTGTAGACAGGGACTTGAGTATAGCTCAGGTTGCCCTTAAACTTGAGATAATTCTGCCTTAACTGCCAAGTGCTGGAATTACGGTGTACTCTGCAATATTATGGACCATGGCTGGCCTGGAGCCTGCTGTGATCTCTTGCCTGTGCCTTCAAAATACTGAGCTAATGGGTCTGAGGAACAGTCTGTAGCTGAGTCTAACTACACCTTTTGAACAAGTGAGATGATTAGTGAGTAAAAGTGCTTACCCAGCAAGCCTGACAAAACCTGGGTTTGATTCCCAGGTCCTTTAGGAGCACCAACTCCCAGAAATTGTTGAGTGACATCCATGGACATGCCATGGATTTCATGCAACCACACTTACAGCCATTATCCACATATTAACAAATACTACAGTAAACATGTTTTTAACTATGCATTTTCTAACGCAGTTCCCCCGCTGGTTTTTCCTAAGAATATGTGCTTTCCCAAATCCCTCACTGGCCCTCTAACCAGGAGAAAGGTGCCAATTTGAGGTGTTAAATAACATCATCAATGGCTACCCTCTCTTACTACCAATTTGATTTAAAATAATGCTGTATCTCAGTAGGAGGCATTTTTCTGAGGCATGTTTCCATTTTAAGTGGAAAATTCTTTTAACAAACTAAACTTGCTCTCGTGTCCTTGCAGTTACAGGAATTGGGATCCTTTAAGAAGAGACATGCATTCTAGAAGCTTAGCAGAATAAATTATTCTTGAGGCAATATGTTTGCCATTTGGAGGGAAAGCTAAACCCAGAGCCACAGAGCTGAGCCCCTGTGACTTCTGTCATTGCAGGGACTTTAACTGCACTTCGGATGTGTTACCAAGGCTATGGTCATCCTTTGATGCTATTTCTAGAAGAAGGAGGAGTGGTAACAGTCTGCAAAATTAACACCCAGGAGCCTGAAGAGACTCTCGATTTTGATTTCTGTAGCACCAATGTTATAAATAAAATTATCCTGCAGTCAGAGGGGCTGCGGGAAGCGTTTTCTGAGCTGGACATGACGAGTGATGTTCTGCAGATCACCGTGTCTCCTGACAAGCCCTACTTCAGGTATGTGAGTGTAATTATCCTTAATGTGGACTGGCAGTGGATCCAACTCTACACCCAACATTTGCTTGAGTTGCAGGAATTTTTTTAACCCCTCCTAAAATTCTCTGAACTTTCAGAAGCATTTGATTATAATTTTGGCTAAGCAGCTGCCTACTGGATTCTGAGAATCTTTCAGTCTTTGTCCCCTAGTGATAAGGTTATAGACATACAGTCATATCTGGCCATTATGTGAGTTCTGAGAATTTGAACTCAGTTACCTGAGGCTTTCACTGCAAATGTACTTGCCCACTGAACCATCCCCCCTGTTCCTATAGCCAGTTTTTGAATATGTCATTTAAGGCAGCATGAGTCCTGATATTGCTTATCAAACCTATAAATGAATGATTTGCTTACTTTCAACTCTAGGCTATCTACTTTTGGAAATGCTGGAAGTTCTCACCTTGACTATCCCAAAGATTCTGACTTGGTGGAAGCATTTCACTGTAATAAGACCCAGGTCAACAGGTCAGTATTTTTTTGATTTGGGTTTTTTTTTTTTTTTTTTTTTTTTTTTTTTTTTTTTTTTTGAGACAGGGTTTCTCTGTGTAACAGTTCTAGCTGTTCTGGAACTCACTCTGTAGACCAGGCTGGCCTCGAACTCGGAGAGCCAAATGCCTCCCTCCCAAGAGCTGGGATTAAAGGAGTGTGCCACCATGGCCCAGCAACAGGTCAGTTCTTAATATAAAGGCTGCATTGTTGATAAAGATGAAGTTAAGTACAAAATTCCCATATAAAACCAAACCAGGTAATTTTTAATATGTTAGAAAATGCATCACATTAAAAAAAAGTAGATGGGCTCTGGCTTTCCCGGGGAGGTTGGGGGTTGGGTTGTAATCACAGGTAGATACAGCGAGAGAGAAGACCAACTTATTGGCAGGTATCTGCTGCTAAATAGTTCCTAGCTAACCATACCTGGTGTTGTGTGCATTGCATTTAGTGGATCCAAATAACAGCTTTTCATTTGCTCTCCTGCAGATACAAACTTGCTTTACTGAAACCCTCTACAAAGGCATTAGCTCTATCCTGTAAAGTGTCTATTCGGACAGATAATCGAGGATTCCTGTCACTACAGTACATGATTAGAAATGAAGATGGGCAGATATGTTTTGTGGAATATTACTGCTGCCCTGATGAAGACGTTCCTGAGTCTTGAATAATTCATTGTGAATATTTGTGTGTATTTATAGTTGTCTTGTCACTCTGACCGCATGGTGTTCATGATTCATAGTGGATCGTCCGCAGAGACTCATGGAGAAAACAAGATCAAGGTTCCATTGTGTAAATATTTTTATTTTGTGAATAAATATTTTTATATAGCCATAAATTAATCTCACTATTGTACTGCCCCCGTGAATATCTTTTTTTATTTATGTGTATGTGCGTTTTTGCCTACTTTGGATGTATATGCACTGCATATGTGACTGGTGTCTACATAGTTCAGAAAAAGGCATTGAATGCCTTAGAATTGGAGTAAAAGACAGTTATGAGCCACCATGTGGGTTCTGAGAACCAAAACCCAGTCCTCTACAAGAGTAACAAATGCTCTTAACCTCTGAGCCATCTCTCCAGCATTCTCCTCTCCATGACTATCTTTAGAATTTATACATATATATGTACTCAGGCACACACACACACATTATATGGGATTCTCTGTGTTACAGCCCTGGCTGCCTTTGTAGAGCAGGCAGGCTAGCCTTTGTAACTAGCCTTTGTCTTTGTAGATAGAGCTCTGCCTGCCTTCTACTCCTGAGTACTAGGATTACATATGTGTATCACCATGCCCATATCTATAGATTATTTTTTCCCTGAACACCATGTACAGATATCCTTCAGTGTTATAGGTTTTCTTGTTCTCGGAGCTGCTTGATGCAGTTAGCACCAGACACCTTCCGTTTGTCTACAGAAGCCTCTTGACCAAATTGAAACCAGCCATTAAGTATTTTTGTATTTTCCTGAGTAGGTTTTACTAAAATAGTTTTTGATGCATATAGTCTTTTGTCACTAAGAAAACAATATTAAATTGTAGGATAAGCACTCTAAGTAGGAAAAAATACACAACTAAAATGAAGTTTCAGACTTCACTGTGCTAGGTACTAGCAACTCAGTGTAAATAGGTACTAATAGTTGGGGTATGGTATTTATCATGGGAAAACACTGTCATTCTATTGCTATATTCATTCAGCATTCCTGGCAGTTACCTGTTTTTCCAGTCATTTTGACTCCTGTCCCCAAATAAAAATACCCAAGACAACTGATGATTGAAAATGATTCGGTGCTATCTGCCAGAACGTGAGGGTGCCTTTGGAATGTCCCAGCCTAAAGCAGCACACACAACCCTGCAGAGAGCTGGCTTGGGGAGAAATGAATCAGGTGGCTAAGGCCCAGGGTTAGTAGTGATGACTTGTGAGAATCCCAGACATTCTCAGGGTGTCCAGCAGCTACAAGCAGGATATGTTTGAACTGGTAGTGTGTGTTTTAAGAGGGAAGGAACAATCTCCCAAGTGTCAGAATACTCTGTTTCCATGAACACTAGAAGGAGAGCCACTGTGAACTGTAATTATGAAAGGCAGCCATTGACACTTGAGGGAGCACACTTTTCCTTTATAGTTAAGACAATATTGTAACACTTGGAATTTTTAATTGCTTTCTGCTAACCCCTCTCTCCCAGCGTACACTGTATATTGTCTTGTTTCTGATCAAGTGGAACTTTGATAAGAAAGTGTGTGGATGTCTCAACCTACAAGTGGAACTCTGAGCTTATGGACAGGTTGCTTAAACGTGTCCAATATGGCAGATTTTGATTTGGGCTTGGATTTCTTCTAACTTGCTATGAAGATCATAAGAAACTAGCTTACCCTTACACACCCAAAAATGCCACTGCCTGTTAGCTAATTCAAGAGAGTTGTGTAGCTCAGGCCCATTAGCAGCAAGAAGCATTTGTCTACAGCCATACCACCCCAAACATACACATTCTAGTAGGTCTCAGAAGCTTAGCAGTGTTAGTACACATTAGTACTTGGATGGGAGAAATATCAATAATTAATTGTGTGATCCCTGTCACTGGTTTCCAACAGACTGATTTAGAAAGGTTGCTACTTACCTAGTTTTCCGAAGAGAACACCATTTTAAATTAGGTTATGCTATGCTGAACATTTCTACTGTTCTTAATGGTTCACAAAACAGTGAAAATTTCAAGTTGGTGAAACAACTCAGTATGTTACCATGGTGGATTCACTCACGCCTATACACTTGTCAAACCCATAAACTAGTGTGTGGGAGTAGAAGCGACTATCCCAAGCTGACTGAAGTCAGTGTGGAACATCTGGATACCAGCAAATGTCCCATCTCCAGGCAGGGCTAAAACGAACAATGACAAGCCAAGAAACCACTAAACAATGACAAAAAGAAGAGTCAGGACAGCACCCAAGGACATTGATTCTGAGTGCCAGACTAAAACATGCTGGGAGAAAACCTGCCAGTCTGTGGGCTGGCCTTGAGAATATGGTGCACGCAGGCTCTGGCCACAGCCAAATGTCACTTTGGGATTGTGTGATTATTGGATTTTACAGACTGAACAAATGTAAAACCAAAATGTCCTGTGAGTGAGTCCTAAGTGGTAGGGTAGTTGGTAGTGAGACACCGCGTTCCCCAAAGTCAGTTCAGGTAACAGGGTGAAGCGAGGAGAAGTTTTAAAGTTGTATAAACAACTATGAAATTTCTCTCTTGTCTTTGCACCCATGAAAAATCCTATGATTTAGTAATGCCTACTTCTTTCCTAGATATTTCAACAGCTGTGGAATGTCTTCACAAATCTCTCAGCCTTCCTTTTCTAAAGACTTATTGCTTATTTCTGTGTGAGGGGGGCACACGCCATGGCACCTGTGTGGAGGTGAGGAGACAGCTCTGGAATCCGCTCTTGCCGTGGACCTGGCTGGGCCAGAGTCTCCCTTAGTCTATCTTAGGTAGAGCATACAGTGTCTCCCTTAGTCTATCTTATGTAGAGCAGTGCTGCATGCTTTAGGCTAACTGGCTAACAGCTTCTACTTCCAGGTGATTCTCCTCTTCCTCTCTTCCCTCCCTAGGAGGGCTGGGATTACAGACATGTGCCACCACAACCAGCTTGGGATTTTTTTTTTTTTTTTTTTTTTGAGTTCAGTGACCGAAATCAGGCAGTCGGGCTTGCACAGCCACCTTCACCAGCAGACCCTTTCCTAAAGATTTTTGACTCCAGTTAGGTGGAGGCAGTGTGGAAGGAACAACCAGCTATAATCCAGGGATAACTGCCAAGATGACCTTAGACAAAAAACCCTTAATTTCTCTTGTCCTACCCACAATCTTTTCATTTATAAAATCAAGTCTATTCTAATTCTGATACATCGTCAGATCATGCACGGCAAATGTCTCAGGAGACCCCAACATTACTCACAAAGCAGTGTTAATAGCCTTAAACAGGCTGTGACTAACACTACTTCCAAGGATGCTCATCGATAAACTGCTTAGTAAGGTACTGTCTAATTTTTTAAAAAACTCAGAACTGGGGATATGGTGCAGTACTGGACCAGCACGTGGTTCTGTTCAGCCCATAGTATCTAGAGGGGTGGAGGGTGGGGGCAAGGACTTAAAGGAATGAACTACAATTAGAAAAGAAATGGAAGATGGTAAGTCATAATAAGCACAAATTCCTGAGAGAGACACATGAGAGGTGAGAAGTCCAACCTAGACAGAGCGCCATCATTAAGAAGACCTCTTTACCAAGTTATAGCCCCCGACCGGTTCTAAGAGCTCTTATGTATCCCACCTGCAGTGGCTCCTAGGTGGAACTTTTTCCACAAGAATTTCCTCAGGAATCCTTAGTTTAAAAAAAAATCTCTTCCCCTTTGGCTCTGCCACTGTCGTCCATGCTGATAAAAGAATTTTGTGCTCTAGCGTTCAGGCTAGCAACCAGTTGTTTTTATTGTTGGCTGTCTTATGTAGAGTTTTCAATTCACTGATAGCGGAAGGCCTGGAAGGAAGGAGAAAGCATTTTCATTGGTCTTGGCTTTTCCCTTAGCTGACAGTCCTCCCTGCCTCGGCTGTGTGGAAAAGCTGTGCTCACCCCGAGGCAAGGACAGCGTAGCATGGCTCCTCATTACCCAACTCAACCCTGCTGCATCTTTAAACACGGCCAAAATAGAATCAGAGTCTTGGGTTTCTCCCAAAAGACCTAGAAGTTCTTCCTTGGACTTAGTTGGCAAAGCCAGGTAACAACTCCCTGGGTGGTATTTACAGCAGCTGAGAAAATCCTGCCTAATTTACCCAATATACTTCAGGATTTTCGAGTAATTTCTGAAGAGCATAAAGATTCGAGTCCCAGTGGCCGTAAGAGGACCCATCTTGCCTGCTTTCGGCCATTAAGGCTTCTATACTCCTGTTTCCTAATACTGGAAGAGCTGAGCTAGCTTAGAAGTACGGGCCAAAATACTCATCCACAAAGTTTCTATAAAGAGCGGTTTTCAGATGCTATGTGTGCCTCAAATCTGCAAAAAGGGTGATTTTCATAGCCCTTGGAGGGATGCAGTTACGACATTCCACAGAAATCTCATACACAATTTTGCAAGGAACTTGTGGTTTTAAGCATACTATCACTAAAGAGGGCTGCATAACATACAGGAAGTTATCTGTGGCTTTCGTTACCTAGTCAGTAAAGGAGAGTTCATATTAGCAGAGGAAACAGGCACAGATTCAGTTCTGTTCAAGGGTCACACCAAATCAGAGGTGGCAGAAGATGTGAGGACTGGACCGTTAGGTAGTAACCACAAGTCAGCTGCCACATGGTGGCAGGATTCCCCTGCACAAAATCCTCTGTGTTGCAAAACCATTGACTTGCGCTCTGTATAATCAGTCTCTGCTTTGAGTTTAAGTGTTTGTTTCAAACTATATTTATATTTGCTCTTTTCAGGGCTTCTAGATACCAACTGAAACGCTAACCAACAAAATGTTTTCTGTATTAGCTTAGTGTTAATTTTCCTAGCTCCTACTCCATTTGTTTTAAGCATCAATGCTGTAATAAAAAGATCATAAACTCACAACAATAAAAATGACTGTGAATTTAGTACGTGATTACTGTGGGCCAACACTTTGCAAGTATTTTAGCTGCTTCTCCCAGCAATCCCGACACAGGTAAAACTGTCTTCTCTATTTTATAGACACGCTGAATGGGATTACATATGACTAGAAGTATCTGTGGTTTGAATCCAGGCCTCCCGGTTTCCAGAGCTAGAGTGGAACTGTGGCCCACTATGTTGCCAAGGCTGATCTCAGGGCTTACGTGATCTGCCTGTTGCCACCTCCCAAGCAGCTGGGACTAGATGCAGGTGCCACCATGCCCAGCTTTGGCACTACTCCTCTACACCCCCGTGAATTATAAGGAGCAATTAGTTCATAGGGGCATGTTAAAGTCCAGTTTCTCTGATCAGATAAGTGGTGGATTGTTGACATAAGGACTGTCCTAAGACTTCACCATGCCCTAAAGTAGGACCCACATCCTTTACCAAACTACAAAGGCATTCTTGAACCCTCAGAGCAAGCATGTCCCACACCCTTTGATTTGAACAAACCCAGCTTGGTCGATCTGTGTCCTAAAGAGAGTAAAGAGCTTCATTTGCTAATATTTAAATCCCTGGTTATTTCAAAAAGAACTCAGGTACACAAAAATACAGCATTAAAAAACATAGTAGCCTGCTCTAAAGATGTAGGTAGAGAATTTGCCCGAGGCAAAGCAGCCGTCACTGTCTACCGCTGCTTGTGTTTTCCTCTGCTGATTTCTTCCACAGCTCTTTCTCCCTCCCCAGGTAGGCTGAGTGTGTCTCTTGGAGTCAGTATTAGCTATGAGAAAGTGCAGCCCTGTGCCAGAGCGAGGTTCTCACCATTCTTTCCAGGCACTGCCCTCCGTCATTCCACTCTGTCTCTGCATACGCTTCTCTTTTTTCCGGCAGCAGTTTCTCTTTTCCATCTGGATGAACTTGCCCTTTGGGAAACAGCTCAGAGGTTACACTCTGGAGGCTTTTCTGGGTCCACTAGCCACTGTCACCTTATTCTCATTCCAGGCTCTAACCTGGAACTCACAGTTTGTGTTTTCACAATTTCTTTGAGCTGCTCCCGCACTGAGGGCTATCTCCTTATGGTGAAGGACTCATTTATGTTGCTTACCTCTGACATCTGATGAACGACCATGTTTTATATATCTTTTTTTAAGGTTTATTTATTATGCATACAGTTTTCTGTCTGGATGTATGCCTGCAGGCCAGAAGAGGGTGCCAGATCTTACTACAAATAGTTGCAAACCACCATATGGTTGCTGGGAATTGAACTCAGGACCTCTGGAAGAGCAGACAATGCTCTTAACCACTGAGCCATCTCTCCAGCCCCCATGTTTTATTTATATCGCTAACCTCTGATCTCTGGATGTATCTCTTGTTTAGTAGGTGCTTACCAGATGCTGAAGGCATGAATAAAACAGGGAAACTAAGTCCGAAATGTTTGAGTGACTCAGAGTATAGTTGCAGGAGGGTCACTGGATCAGAGGACAGTGCGCTTCTCGCCTGAATAGCAAATACGTGTGGATGGTATAGGTATGCCCCTGCCCACAGCCTGTGGCAGAAAATGCCAATAAACCAAGCACTACCAAACCTGGAATGTTGCTGTTGAGCAGCAAGTATTACTCCAGGAAGTTAACGACAGAGGGAGACCAAGAGATGAAGTGTGTGTATTCGCCTTGCCTTATCCCATGCTAGACCCTCAGACTTGTCCATTCTGTGGGCACGGCAGAATGACTGTTGACTACAAATCTCCTCTCGGTTCTGCCAAACACAAGGTACCCAGAACTGTCTCCTAGTGGCTTAGGAGTCACTGTTTGCCACCATAAAGGAGATCTGAAGGCAGAGAACTAGTCTCCCAAGTGTTGGTTTCTCCCAAGTGTGTGGCTGTATCAAGCTAGAGCTTGAATCCTGATCTGGAAAGCTGGAAAGCTGCTGACAGTTAGGATCTGAACACTACAGTCAATGGTCCTTCTCGCTCTCTCATACTGCCCAAATACTTTAATTTCATAGAGCCGGTGTTAGGATATTTACTTATAAATAGTAGGAAAAGAGCGCAAACACAGAATCCCGCAAGCAGCGGTTTATGGTGCATGTTTGTAAGTTCACTACAGTCTTGCCTGAGACGGCCTGGTTGATATGCAGCTTTCAGAACAATTCCATTTCAGCCTCTGTGTGTATGTGTGTGTGTGTATGTGCGTGTGTGTGTGTGTATGTGCGTGTGTGTGCGTGTGTGTGTATGTGTGTGTGTGTATGCGCGTGTGCGTGTGTGTGTGTCTGTATGTGTCTATGTTTCCCAAGACAGCATTTCTCTGTGTAGCCCTGGCTATCCTGAAGCCTACTCTGTAGACCAGGCTAGCCTTGACTTCAGAGATCTACCTGCCTCTGCCTCTCCCAAGTGCTGGGATTAAAGGCGTGCGCCACCACCACCTGGCCCGTTTCACTCTTGATACAGTTCTCCAGAGGTAACTGCACCAAGACCCGTTTCCACCCTCCAGTCCTTCACCTCTCCTCTCCCAGCCTCCCCGCCCAGAAGCAGCTGCTCCCTTGTGTTTACTTGGCCAAGAAGACTTGCGTTAGGACTGAATGCAGATAACGGACATACGCTATAAGAGAAGAAATAACGCTAATGGCTTCTCTAGTTCTAATTAGGTCTTAGGTTTTTCCTTTCTGGGTGGTGAATGAGTCCACTAACGTGCATTTGATACTAAAAGAGTAAAATGCACGGTGAAGTCCTAGAGCTTGAGAATGGCTACTCTAGATGTCATCAGGATGTATTGACCTTGGTTTGGTGTATAGTGGCCCCACCACAAAGTTCTTTTTATAAGAAAATTTATTTTTACAGAAAGATGCTTGGGCTCTGATAGGTCAATGGACTCTCTAGTATCTGCTTTCTTCCTCTTCTTGTAAAAAGGAAGATTTTCCTTTTTTTTTTTTTCTTTTTTTCTTTTTAGGAAGATTTTCTTTACCCCCCTCGTTGGCATATATGGCTTCAAAATCCATCACAGACAGTAGGCTAACATTCGTATGTTTAGTGCTGCACGAGCTTTCCAATCTCACTGCTCGTTTGCGTTCCCCTACCCTGCCCACACCCCATGCAAGACAGAGGGGTGTGTGTGTGTGTGTGTGTGTGTGTGTGTGTGTGTGTGTGCCTGTGTGTGTGTGTGTGTGTGTGCGCGCGTGTGTGTAGGCCTTGGCCGTCCTAGGACTAGCTCTCTAGACCAGGCTGGTCTGGAAATCATAAAGATCCACCTGCCTCTGCCTCCGGAGTGCTGGGATTAAAGTCCTGTGCCTCCACCGCACAGCTGATAATCCTTGTTGTTGTTGTTACTACTACAGTTCATGGGAGCTATCTGTCTCCCATATATTAAATGCTTAGATAGAGTGCTCTTATTGTTTTTAGGGATAAAGTGAGAGTTAGGATGTCTTACTGTTAATACGAAAGCTCGAATTTGTGGCCCAGTGCTCAGGTATTAGATCACCGTGCTATAATCTCCACGCACGTGTGATCTCCAAAGTTCTTTCCAAGCCTTATTGTTTCACGTACACATATTCTGTAGGTTATTTTATCCATCCAGATATAGCCTTCATAATATATCTCCTTAAGCTCTTGTTCCAAACTGCCAGCAGCTTACTAGACACTGCCAAGTGGCTGTGCAGGGAGTACTTCAAACATAGCAGATGCAACATGGAAATCACTATCTCCCTAAATCCTAGACTCCCCCAAACTAGTCTCCTCTCCTCTGGCAGCAAAGGTTCATTATGTTCATCTAGCTGTTGAGCCAGCTTTTTTTTTTTTTAAGATTACTTATGTATGAGTGCTCTTTCTGCATGTACACCCTTACTCCAGAAGAGGGCATCAGAGCCCATTACAGACGGTTTTTGAGCCGCCATGTGGTTGCTGAGAATTGAACTCAAGTCCTCTCTGGAAGAGCAACCACTGCTCTTAACTACTGAGCCATCTTTCCAGGCCCAAGTCAGAGACTTCAAAGTCACTTTTGTATCTTGCCACTGCTGCACTTCCTATCTAATTGGTTTTAAAGTTTGTCAGCATAGACTATAGACTGTTTCTCAATCTATCATCCATACCTCCTTTTCCTATAGCTTAGGTACTTAAAGACCGCAACACCTCTCTTGGGCTGGTGTATCTGCCCTCGAAGTGCTCTCCCTACTTTTCCCTATGTACTGTCTTTTAGGCCCTTCGCTATTAGACCTAACGTCTGAAAGCTGATAACTGGCTACCATATCCTGTTCAAAGGTCTTCAATAGCTTCCTTCTAAATAAGTCCTAAACTAATTAGTATAATTTATGAAAGTCCCCTAGTATGACCCTAGTATTTCATCCCAACTTTATTGGCAGCCTGTCATTACCTATGCACCTTAAACTATAGCAAGTCAAGACTGCTGACTTTCCTGAGAAATGCCAACCAGCTCTAGGACACAGAGCTTGTGGTCACACTGCTTGGAAGACCCTCTCTGGCGTCTTTTCTATCAGGCATTTAAGATCCTGGACCCTTCCTGCACACAATTTACACTCACAGCTCTGGCTTCACAATTTAGTCCCTGTCATTTTTGTTCCTAATTCTATCAAAAATGTACTACAGGGGACTTTTAGACTGGTTATGTGTATGCTTTCTCCAAAAGGAAAATATCTGAAACATATTGAGTACTTCTTATTCTTAGGAGCTTTATTTATGAATGGTTAAAATCGAAGTGTTTGGCCAGGTGGTGGTGGTGCATGCAATTAATCCCAGCACTTGGGAGGCAGAGACAGGTGGTTCTCTGTGAGTTCAGAGGTCAGTCTGGTCTACAGAATGAGTTCCAGGATAGCCAAGGCTATAACAGAGAAACCCTGTCTCAGAAGACAAAGCAAAACAACAGAAACAAACAAATAAAATGAAGTCCATTCGTAACTCGGGTAAAATTTAAGCTAAAGAGCTCCCAAGTTTGTTTCCAAATCTGATGTTTTCTCTGCCTTTTCTATGTACTAAAATCTTGCAGGCTGCCCTTGCAACTATTGCTCTGTGTTAGAATGAACTCCTGCTTCGAGTGGCCTGTTCTGCTCTAACTTCTTTGCAGAGGCTCCAAAAAACAAGAATGCAGGCTGCTGGCCATGGCAGTCCAGAAAGTGTTTCACTGAGTTCCTGAAGGCGGTGGGGTAAAGCACATTAGAGCACATTGGATCCCGAGCGGTGTCTAGGGACATCTGGGACTGATTGTTCCAGTGAGAGGCTGAAGCCAAGAGAGCGATTCTTGCGCTGCTTTTGGACATCTGGGCTTTGGCAACTACCCCATGGCTTTGCTCAGCAGTTCTTGGGAAACGAGATACGGGCTTGTTTCGGGGAAAGCAAAACCTTTATTGACGTAACATCTACTACAGCACAGGACATCAAAAGATGTCTTTCCCCCTTATATTGACTCTGGGTAGGTCTAGATGTCACTGTCTTCAGCAGAGAAAGAGCAATTAGTGACCTACATTAAAATCCCAGCAGCCCTGCCTCTTCCTGGGTGAAGTGTCTGGAAAAACTCAGTTCTCAGTGTGTCTGTGTGTCAGACGGGTTCTGGAGTATGACCTGCTTCACAGATCTCTCCAGGTGCAGATGAAAACCCATCAAAGCCAGGTTCTCTACACAGTGAAAGAATGGGAATCTGAAACCTGATTGACTTAAGTTCAAGCACTTCAGGAAACTTAGACTGTCTGGTCTGCACTGGCTTCCCACAGTTTCTCCTCCTCCTGTGGCTCCTGTCAACTCGAGGCTACTGAGAAAATATATTCACTCCACTTATCTTGAAGTTTTTCTTTAAAAAATTTAGAACATATTTTACTAACTCTGAAAATACACTGCATTTTGACCATCTTATCTCCTCCCCCATCTTCTCCTAGATCCACCTCTGACCTCACCCATCCAACTTTGTTCTCCCGTTTTTTTAAAAGTCATCAAGTCCTATTAATGCTGTCTGTCTAATATTACATGTGTGCCTTAAATTCGTGTGGATCTGGCTCATGTTGTCATATGTACAACTGTTTTATGCAGAGGACACTTCTTCCCTGTAGTCATCCAAGCACCACTGTCCCTTACAGTCCTTCAGCTCCCTCTTCCACAATGATCCCTGAGCCCCAGGAGGAGGGAGTGCAGCTGATGTCTCCTTTTAGGCTGAGCACTCAGCAGTGGCTTAGTCTTTGAACCTTGATCTCATCTGTGGGTCTCGTGTCTTTATACATATTTATTTTTTTATTGCTGTAGTGTGTATGTGTGCACATGCCATGGTAAGCACCAGGGCTGAAGGAGCAGAATGTGCTCCTACAGCACACACCACGCATTTGGAGATCAAAGGGCAACTTGCAGGAGTCTATCCTTTTCTCCCACCATGTAGGTCCTAGGGATCATCTTCAGAGGTGGCAGCAGGTTCCTTTAAGTGACTTAGGCATCTCGCCAGCTCTGAGGTTTCTCTTACTTGAATATAAGCTGGGTAGAAAAAGTTACTACAATTTTGAGTAAAGAGCCTGTGCTTTGTCTCTGAAATTGCATGCTGCTTGTATTTTCCTTGTCGTTTCATTAGTAGTTATTTCAAAACACAATAGGTTCTTTAAAGAGGGCAGACTGTCAAAGCCTCCGTCACAAAATACTGTGATTCTGACTAACAATTCCCTCCAATTTCAAATATTCTGACGTCTTACCTCAAGAGTAAGAGGCAACAAGAGTTCTATAAGGAAGGGGAGGGAGGAGTGTCTAGCTCACACTGACTTAGCACGTGCTCTGTTGGGCTTGTTTAGACAGGATTCTGCTTAAATCCTTATGACTTAAGAAGTCCTAACAGCTCATGATTTACTGATATGTCAGTGATGGAGAATCCAAGCCTCAAGGAGGAGCAAATGATTTGCTCAGGTTCATGGAACGTCCTAAGCAGTGAAAAATAGGTTAAAATCATAAGTCTTACTCCAGTCATGAACATTCCTTACCCTACTCATAACATCAAATAATAATACGGTAATGTGTATGAGTCATTTAAACATCCTAGCTCATTATGACTCCACTTCAGAACAAGAATTACTGTCATTATCGATATTTTATTATGATGTTGACAATCAGTGAACATTTAAGATTTAAGGTTTGCCAGGCCTGACCTTTTATGTATGGTCTCATTAATGCGGAAATGAGAGGGAGTGCCATTATTACAGTGGTGTCTAACTATAGGCTAAGGGAGTTAAGTAAGCTCTAAGTGGGGCCAACGGCGTTAAAGTAAATTCTCTAAGATGGGAGAGCAGAGCACAGGAGCCTTGAGTTTTGAACCTGCTTTTAGAAGCTAGACTGCCTCCAGAGGCCACAGTAAGAAACTTAGAGACCTTTATTAAGTCCCAAGGCTGCCTCTTTCTGGGCACACTAGCTTAAGCAAATCAATTCTCAGGTTTTTGGTACAGAAATGGTTCTGCAGCATGTCAGATGAGCTCCTATGCCCATTTGTATAATCAAGTCCACTGAAAGTCCTTACTACGTTGCAAACGGAAAAAAAAAATCTGGTCAACTTTAGTTTATATCTGACCCCAAACATCCTAAGGTTCCATTTTAACCTACCCAACTGAGGCTTATAAATCAGAAATACTATGTGTTAGAATACGGAAGGAGATCCATATTCTAGTTTTTCATATTCTTATTGTTTTGATTTAAAAATATGTTTTTATACACACTTGCATGCCGGGAGCAAATTCCTCCCTGCTTCTTTGTGTGGTCCTATGTACCCCCTAAATGGAAAGTTATAGAAGGGGCTGAGGAACCCAATTCTCTGGACAATAAAGGCAAGAGCCTTCTTCAGGGTCTACCTGCAGTGTAGCTGACCGAGGCTGGTAGATAGCACGGACTACAACTGTTCAAGCTCATCTCTCCTGCTTGACTAACCTAGGGAGTCTGCTGAAAATGGACTGATTAGGAGACACTTTTGGTGAATGAAATCAGAATCCTAACCTCATATATTGTGGTAGATTGAATGTAAGTTTTCCCCATAAGCTCCTAGGAAGTGGCACTATTAGGAGGTGTGGCTTTGCTGGAGGAAGTGTGGCCTTGTTGGAGGAAGTGTGTCATTGCAGAAGCAGGCTTTGAGGTCTTATATGCTCAAGCCATGTGCGGTGTCTCAGACCACTTCCTGTTGCCTTTAAGGCAAGATGTAGGGCTCTCAGCTACTTCTCCAGCACCACGTCTGCCTGCACACCACCATGTCCCACTACGATGATAATGGATTAAACCTCTGAAAATGTAAGACACCCATTAAATGTTTTCCTTTATAAGAGTTGCCATGTTGTGGTACCTCTTCACAGCAATAGAAACCCTAACTAAGACACCAATAAACAGGGCCCTCTTTGTTAGAGAACTCTCTGAGAAAAGCATACAGCCTTTAGGATCACATTTATTTGGATCCAAATCTCTAAGTCTATGGATTTGAGAAAAATCTTCAGAACCTTGGCCTCCATTCTCTCAAATGAGAGCTTCATATTGGGTTAGTTATAGAACTTTAAATGAAACTGTTTCTAAAAAGGACCTAGCTCAGCTGGGGATTTTAGCAAACACAACCATTTTTAATCTCACTTTTCTTAGAAGGCAGCAATTTGGTGCCAATATCACATTGAGATGTACAAGTATAAATGATGAGGAAAGAGGAGAATGGGGTAGGTCTCTGCCAAGTATCCTGTTGGCTTAAATCTAAACATCAAAAAAAAATCTGAACATGCTAAATCGGCCCAACTGCCTGCCATATGTTTAGAGACCTAGATATATTCAATGAGAAAAATAAGTTTAATATGTTCACTTCTTGACTGTTAAAATCCACAAATATACCATTTTGTGGCTATCATATTGTCAGCAAAGACCTTATCTTGCAGGATTTGTCTAAAATGCTCAGCACTGAGAGTGATATGCTTTATATATATATATTTATATATATATACATATATATGTGTGTGTACATATATATATATAAAATACACTGCATATTATTACAGTCAGCTTCTGCAATTATAGATCCTAAGCAAACAAGAGATGAACTAATTATGTCCAGTACAGAATTTGACAAAAACCATAGATGAGGTAAGAGTTTTGCCTAATTAGATAACCACCAGCACCTGGCTGAATCAGACAGGCTGATTCATATACCAGAGTGACGACATGGTTTGTGTCTGTGGAAAATCTGACAGAAGAGGCAGAACTTACCTCTGCAACAGGGTAAGGAGGCTTTTAGTCTCTCTGCTTTTGATGTGCTCACTTCCATAGACAAGACTTTGAACCATCAGACACTGTAGGTGAAATGGGAAACAGGTTACAGACACTCAGAGCAAACACTCCAACGCCAACTGCAAGCCAAAACCAGAAGCAGACTGGTGGACCTGGGCTGTTCCAAGTTTACAGATGGAATGTATGCACTTCATTCCACTGGTTCCTGGCCAAAGAGAAGATCAGTATGGACTGAAGGCTCAAGTTACTTTCTGTAGCCTGCATGCGATATATACGCAATCCAGTCTACTGCACTTGTTGCTATAGATGACCAAGGCATCAGGACCCCAAAGTGATAGCACCCCTCCTTAAGACATGGTTATAACACTGGTTTCTGTCAGGATATCTTTTTTAAAAATTCAAGCTAAATAGATACAATTGACTCTCTGTATGCCCGGCAAAGCTGCCTTGCAGTCTGATGCAGATCACATTATCCTTAGGCAGGTTTCTTGACGTTTTATTGCTGACATTTGTTTCCACATAAAATGAATTTAATCTCTATCTCAAACAGCCAATAGAAAGTAAACAAATGCATGAACTGGACATCAAGCAACAAGAAAAAGTGATTATCACAAAGAGAGAAAGTGAGTGTGATAAACGACATGATTGTCCTAGGTTACCCCTTTGCATTGCTGGGCTATCACACAGAAAAGAGAGAGCAAATTAGGTTTACCAGAATCTCTCATGAAGCTGAGAGTCCAAGTAGACTTCTAGATGGATATAGAAAGGAGATATTTTCACAGGAAAACAATGGGTATCTGCAGTGTTCCCCAAGTAGCAAAGGCTAGCCCTTGCATGAGAGGAAACTGCAGAAAGCACAGAAAGGAGTCATGGGCAGGGGGATGCTGGGCAGAGCACCTGGCATTTATGCCAGGTTAAGTTAGTGACTGTTTTCACCCTTGACTAAATGGTGTCTAGTCTCATGTGAGATCTCCAAAGCCACACATGGACCAAGTTGTTTACAAGTAGTTTAACTGAAATGAATTTCAAGAATAATTACAAGATTACAATGAGATCCAATACCTAATAAGATCTATAGTGTCGGCCTTCAATCCCAGCACTCTGAAGGCAGAAGCAGGCAGATTTCTGAATTTGGGGCCAGCCTGGTTTACAGAGCGAGTTCCAGGGCTCTGGTATCCAAATGAAGATTACTCACTCAGCATGAAAACTAACCAACCAACCAAACAAACAAACAAAACAGTGAAACCTATAATGATAAAAAGCATCCAATCGAAACTAACCAAGAAGCATATAGGAACAATGGCACATTCCTATAATCCAGCTCTCAGGTAGCTGAAGCAACAATCAGGAAGTTAAGTCCAGAATGATATATTTTAAATAGGATAAAAATGCAAAATCAGATAAATATGAGAAAATATGGACAAGACATATATTGAAAACTACAAAATATTATTGTGATAAATTATAATTTTTTTCTTTTCTTTTCTTTTTTTTTTTTCTTTAGTTGTTCGAGACAGGGTTTCTCTGTAGCTTTTGAGCCTGTCCCTGAAACTAGCTCTTATAGACCAGGCTGGCCTCGAACTCACAGAAATCCACCTGCCTCTGCCTCCCGAGTGCTGGGAGTAAAGGCGTGCACCACCACTGCCCAGCAATAAATTATAATTTATATTAATTCTGTAGTTCATGTTCATGAGAGAGGTAACAAATACTATTAAGATGTCATATCCCACCTGAGTGACGGTCGTGAGGCAGGGCAATAGCGCAAGCACAAGCAAGCACACGCAAACTCACAATGAGTAAGCAAAATTGGCCAAGACAACCTGTCAGCTCCTAGCCAATCACAACACGCCAGCAGTGACTGCCAGTTTCAAAAGGACCAACAAGAAATGTTTTTGTGGCAGCTTAATTTCCCTAACCCCATAACCCCCCCCCCAACCTGCTTACAATATCTTTTTACAATAAAGAGCTTCTGCATTAGAATCTCCTGAGTCTGTGTCTTATCCCCTGCCCCCATTCCTGGAAAACAGGGCTAGCACAACAGGCAGCAGCAATAGCCAGCAAAAACTACAGTGGCCCATGCCTTTAATCCTTTAATCCCAGCACTCAGAGGCAGAGGCAGGCGGATCTCTGTGAGTGTGAGGCCAGTCTGATCTGTAGTGTGAGTTACAGGACAGCCAGGGCTATTACACAGAGAAACCCTGTCTTGAAAAATCACATAATAAGGAGAGGTAGAGAGAGAGAGAGAGAGAGAGAGAGAGAGAGAGAGAGAGAGAGAGAGAGAGAGAGAGAGAGAGAGAGAGAGAGAGAGAGAGAGAGAGAGNAGAGAGAGAGACAGAGAGAGACAGAGACAGAGAGAGACAGAGACAGAGACAGAGACAGAGAGACAGAGAGAGAGACAGAGAGAGAGACAGAGAGAGAGAGACAGAGAGAGAGAGAGGATAAAATTAACATCTCTACAAACAAATCTGGGCCTTCTGTGCAATCTCAGTCACAACTCCAGCAAGTTTTAAAATATGAATTGACAGAGTGGCTGTAAAATTCCTCTGGAAATGCAAAAATCCCAGAATACCATCAATAAATTTGAAGAAGCGCTATAAGTTCCCAAATTTAAGCCTTGTTTTAAAACTACACTATCCACTATGCATTAGCATATAGACAGACAAATCAATGGAGCAGAAGAGTCTGGACATGCAGAGGAGACTTTATTAAATCTGTTAGCATACAGAGCCATGGGTTTCATTTCCATATGCATATATCAGTTTACGTAGTTCTTGCCGCCCCAGTGGCCACTGTCCCCTGATGAGTGACCCCTTCCTCACCTTCTGCTTCCCTCATTCACACCCATCCCATGATGCTCTGTTTCCTCCTCCCCTTTCTCTTTAGACTCTTCTCATATTTGCTTCTCTACTTTCTTTCTTTAAAAAAAAAAACTCTGAAACACACCTTTTATTATATTTTGAGACGAATTCTTAGTACATTTTGTAGACCAGCTTGGCCTTGAAATTTACAGCCATCCCCCTGGCCCTGCATCCCAATTTCTAGGATTACAGGCTTACATCATGCTCTTGGCATTGAATCTGCCTTTTTAGAAATAAAAATTTGGGCTGAGAGATGGCTCAGCCATTAAAGGTTAGGCTCATAGGCGCACAACCAAAAGATAAGAAATGGAGGGTTCCACTAAGGTTTTTTTTTAATATTTATTTATTTATATATTATGTATACAATGTTCTGTCTGTGTGTATGCTTGCAGGCCAGAAGAGGGCACCAGACCTCATTACAGATGGTTGTGAGCTGTCATGTGGTTGCTGGGAATTGAACTCAGGACCTCTGGAAGAGCAGGCAATGCTCTTAACTGCTGAGCCATCTCTCCAGCCCCTCCACTAAGGTTTATCTTGTAAGAAAGCTGGGTGACAGTCTCGCCCTTTCCAAAGCCCAGGCTACACCCTGATGAGGTCAGTAACCGAGCGCTGTTCTCAGTCCTTCAGGCTTCAGTAGAAGTGTGCTTCCACTGGGTTCCAAAAGCTCTGGGCCTAATACCCCTGCCAAAGGCCTCTCTTTCCTGTTGACCTACGGAAGGGACTAAGTCTAGAAGGTTGTAAGAAACTCCAACAATGATGTGGGAGTGATTTCTTATTAATAAAGAAACTGCCTAGGCCCCTTGATAAGGCCCACCCTTAGGTGGGTGGAGAAAACAGAGGAGAATGCTGGGAGAAGGAGGCTTGGTGGAAGAGTCGCCATGATTCTCCCGCTCCAGACAGACGCAGGTTAAGATCCTCTCTGGTAAACCAACTCATGGGCTACACAGAATATTAGAAATGGGTTAGAACAATATGTAAGAGCTAGCCAATAAGAAACTGGGAGCCGGGCCAGGCAGTGTTTGAGAGAATACAGTTTCCGTGTAATTATTTCTGGGTATAAACTAGCCATGCGGGCGGCCAGGTGCCGGGGACGCAGCCCTGCC